TTCTTGTTTCAACCTGGGGAGGTTGTGTGATGTCAGAAAGTCCTCCATTTCATTTAGGTTATCAAGTCTGTTTCCATATTACTGTACATAGTAATCTCTAATAATCTTTTGTATTTTCAGAGTCAGTTGTGATATGATTTTTTGTATTTCTGATTGTGTTTATTTGGGCTTTTCGTCTCTTTTTTTGGTCATTCTGGCTAGGGGCCCATCAATCATGCTTTCTTTCAAAGAACCAGGTTTTTGTTCTGCAGATGTGTTTTCTATAATATTTTGTCTTCTATGGCCCATATTTGGGCTCTTATTTTGGTGATTGGGATTCTTCTGCTAAAGTTGGGTTTTTGATGGTTTTGTCTTTCCAGCTCCCTTAGGTGATTTGTTAGGCTCTCATTTAGTGATCTTTCTGTTTTCTTGTTGTGTGCTTGTAGTGATATAAATTCCCCTCTTAGAAATGTTTTCATGGCATCCCAGAGGTTTGGTAAGATGTTTCTTCATTTTCATTTGTTTTTCAGGAATCTTTTAATTTCTGCTTTGATTTCAGTATTGACCCAGTAGTTGTTCAGCATCATGCTGTTTAGTATCCATGTCTTTGTGGGCTTTGGGGAAATGTTGTTGGTGTTGATATTTAATTTTATTCCATTGTGGTCTGAGAACATGCTTGGCAAGATTTCAACCTTATGAAATTTGTTTATGCTTGATTTATGGCCAAGGATGTGATCGTTCTTGGAGTATGTTCCATCCTTGGTGATGAGTAGAATGTATATTCTGTGGTTGTTAGGTGGAATAATCTGTAGGTATCTATTAAGTCCACTTGGTCTAGTGTCAAGTTTAGGTTCTGGATCTCCTTATTGATTTTTTGCCTTGATGATCTATCTAGAACTGTTAGCGGGGTATTTAAGTTCCCTGCTATAATAGTATTAGAGTCAATATCCTTTTTTAGTTTACTTAGTAGTTCCTTTATAAATGCTGGTGCTCCTGTGTTGGGTCCATATATGTTTAGGATGAGTTTTTCTTGTTGATGGTTTAATCCTTTTATCATTATTTAGTGTCCTTTTGCATCTTTTTAAATTTTTAATAGCTTAAAAGTTGTTTTTTCTGACATTAAGATCATGACTCCTGCCTTGTTTTGTGATCCATTTCCCTGGAAACTCGTTTTTCATCCTTTAACTTTGAGTCTGTGCATCCCTTGTGTTGAGATGAGTGTCCAGATACAGCAGATAATTGGGTCATGTTCTCTTATCCAGGTTGTCTTTCTGTGTCTTTTCAGTGGTGCATTTAGTCCATTCACATTCAGGCTGATCATTGAAATGTGATTGTTTATCCCTGTCATGAGGTTCTTTTTTTTTTTGAGTTTGAGTCTCACTCTGTCGCCCAGATTGGAGTACAGTGGCTGCTCCCGGCCACCGCAGCCCTGACCTGCTGGGCTCTGGCGATCCACCGC